TGCTGCAAACCTGTGCTTCTCGCAGCACTTCCATACATTGAGGGGAAAAAAACCAACCCAACAACAAAAAAGATTTGCCGGTGTCACCCTGAAACAGTGCATTCCCTGCGAGAGGGATCCTGCATGCAGCCAATAAATGCCATTTTAACAAACTGCGCTTTGCGAATGATAACAAGAAGTGAAAGCTCTGCAACGCTTGCATGCCGCCGCGTGCTGCCCCACGCAGGTGCTGCCACACCAGCCAGCCAGGAGAGCTGCTGCCCGTTGCTGGGCAAGGGGAAAAAAACATCGTGGTGTTTTCTGAGGGCAGCTGCAGAGCTCTGCTTGCAGAGGCGCCGCCATCCACCACCAAGATGCGCGATAATCGACCGCCCAGCGCCGAAGCCAAAGCGAGCCGCTCCCCCTCCGCGCTCCAAGCACTGCATGGAAATGGTTAAGTCCCCCACCGAATAAATCAAAAGTTCAAGGCTGCAACATACCACAGCGTATTCCCTCTCTCCTTATGACAAGAACCAGAGAAAGCCCGAAATCCCAAGCATCCTGCGCGGGGTCTCGGCTGGCACTCACAGGTTACACGCTCGGGGTCAGCGCCGCGGACCTCGGCTGCAACATTCATTTCCTGAGCAGGGCAGGTCCCCCTGCCCATAAAGCTAATAAGAGCTTCCTCGCATGGCAGCCCTGCACTGACAGAGCTACTTGTCAGCGGCCACGCAGTGGGGGAACGCTGGTTTCCATTAGGCGGTTATGATGCCAGGTGCCACTAATAAGGCCCATCAGCGAGAAACAAGAGCTGCCAAGTTGTCTTCGAACTCTGGAAATAATCACGGGCAGAGTTTGGGGGCTGCCTTTTTGTTATTTTTTTGGCCCCCCCCCCCCCCCCCCTTCTCTTTCTTTTTTTTAAAGTTTCGATTGCAGCCGACTTCAGCGGAACATAAATCACCGAATGCTTAAAATGAAATAAAAAACAACTACTGTACCCGGCTACCAAAATTAACACTAATAACATCTCACAAAGCACTTGGGATCTGATTTATCACGTTTATTGCTTTAATGGTATACTGCATCTGTTTCTCACTGTGACATGTTGAGCGGTGCCAACGTGCCTAATGGCATTAGTATTACAATGCTCAGCTAATCCACTCGAAGACAAATGGAGGTGAGGTTGGCAAGCAAAGAGCCAAAAGCAGCAATATTTCCCTACGCAGCCACTTAAGATTTGCTTCGGCACTGCTGCAGACAGGGCTGCTGGAGGTGTCCCAGTGCACGCAGTGACAAGCAGCAGCCAATGGGTCCATTCAAACCCAGGGCTTTGTTAGGGACCCGCGGTTTGTTCCACTTCGCTGCACCGCATCAAGGAGCGCAGGGATCGCATGGAGAGGCTCGTGTGTTCCGGGGAGCCAGCGGAGCCCAATTGCAAGGCAGTGGGCAAGCAGATCTGCTGCTCCTCTGTGCTGCACAAGCATGGAATACAGCAAAGGTTCGGGGTTCCAGGTGACAGGGCAAACCTAACCTTAAAATCATCCACCAGTGCACGCTCAATCGTGGCACCTTCCAACCCGTGCAAAAATCAGATGTGGGAATTTGAAGAGAGGTTTCCCAAGGTATGCACTGACATGGATTTAGGGGCAGAGGAGCAGGCACCTTCCAGCCAAAACAGCACCAATGGGAATCGTGGTGCCGGTTATGATTTGCCTTAGACAACACTGGCACAAAGAACTTTCATTTTCCAGCTGGGCATCTTCATGTCACAGAGGGATATGTGGACAACACTGCCAGCACACAGCTCTGCTCAGGGTCACCCCGAAGGACCACACTGTGGGTTTGGATGCTCTGCCCTTCAAACCCTTTCCCTGCAGAATGGAAGGATGATGCACTGAAGGAAAAAGGGAGAACTGTGCCACTCACAGACAGCACTGAATCACATCTCCCTGACAGCTTTCTCTGCTGCTTTTGATGTGAATATATATATATATATGAAACATTCATTTTATAAAGTCTGAACGCATTTAACCTCACGATGACAAACTGCCCCGGATTCAGGCAGCTGCTCAGCACAGCCCTGCAGAAGCGGAGATTTTTCTTCACACAAACAAACCGGAAAAGGGCCACTGAACTACAGCTTTTTGGTCTGCAATTAGAAGCAGCAATCAATACTAACATTAGATTAAGTTTGAACTTTGTTGATCCTAGAAGGAAATCTTTTATATATATAAAAAAAAAAAAAAAAAAAAAAAAGGAAAGAAAAAAAATTCAAGAGTCACCAACTCAATACGCACTCAATTAGTCAAAATCATAAGCTTGGTCAACAGGGAAAACGGATCGCAAAGCAGCCGACAGCCATCCAAAAGGCACAGGGTGGCTGTGAGGCTGCTCCTGGGGTTTGGGGACCCTAAGGGGACCTGCACCCCTGGGTGTTCTCTGAGCAGAACACCCAAACCAGGGCCTGGGGGAAGCACCACGGTCTTTTTTTCCCCCCATGTGCACATATTTCCCATAGGAGGTAGGGGCAGCACTCAGAAGGTTCTCAGACTCTAAACATATATATTTATAAGCATCTAGGCATGTGTGCGTGTAAACAAACATACACACCATATGCAGTCACTCACGTAACATAAACAGACACTGTACATGTTGGGATGCTCTTGGCTCATTAAGTGCTCTCTGTGCAGAGCACTTTGGTCTCTCCTCTCCCTGCCGGGACTCCAGCACACAAAAGCCACCGAACCAAGAGCTCAGGCAGTGCCAACAGCGCTGGAAGTGCTGCATCTGCCCATCAATCCAACACCTTGAAAGCACAGGACTGGAACAAACGGATGGGCAGACAGGCACTCATCCAGCAGGAGACAGAGCAGCGGGCATCCAACTGCAGCCTGCAACACAGCTGGGGACAGGGCTGCTTCTGTGTGCCCAGGGCAGGGTTAAAAGCAAAACCACACCAACAGGCGCCCAGCAGAAAGAGGTCACCTAAAGCAGCGGCTCCATGGTGACACCGCTGTCACTCGGCACACCCTGGGAGCAAAGCAGCACGGTGCAGCTGCCACCACCTGCACAACTGCTCCAGCAGAGAGTTATAGATCCCAGCGTAGCGTGGATGCTGTTTAACAGCTCCATAAATACAATGGGATCCCACAAATCCTCTCGAAATGGTAATTTTCACCACGTATCAGAAAGCAAACACTATAAAAAAGCCACATGAAACCTTGTCTATGCACAAACTGCCTTGGATTTCGATTTTTTTTTTCCCCTCCTCTTTTAAAGTTCATTTGACTGTTGCCCAACACCTTTCAACACAGACCATCTTACAAATCAGTTTAAAAACGGCTCAAAGGATTTGGCTAACTCCGAAAAGTTTACCAGCACGCAGTGACTGCACACAGCCATGGCCTCAAAGTAGGAGCGCACCAAGTTCGGCACTGCCTCAAACCATCCTTCTGGGGCCGTGTTTTTAGCGAACGCTGCTCTGCTGTGTGATCAGCCCCAAACCTCAGCAGAACACAAGGTACAGCGCGGAGCAGCAGCAGCAGCCCTGGCACAAGATCGGGATTATGAACCGGTTCCAGCATCGGTCACTGCTCTGCGCTCAGGGAGAAGGGAAGGTGCTGGTGAGCATGGCAGAAGCCACGTTAAAATTCTCACTGAGCATTCACTGCAGCTCTCCCTTGGTGACGTTCAGCCTGCATCACCCTACGGCAAGCACGGCTGGATCCTCGTCCGAGCGAAAAGCTTTAGGCAGGCATCATCTGCCCCTCGCACGCACACACACAGACCCCAGCTCTCCCACTTACAATGCAGGGGAACAAAGCAGAACCCTGCTGCACGAGTGCACAAAGCAGGAGGGACCCTCCGGGGCAGGGGGATGGCTGTCAGCACGGCACGGCGAGCCACGAAGCACCACCAGCTCACGGAGCTCCGCAGGGCTGAACGCTGCAGCACCAGAGATGCAGCTGCTGCTGCTCTCACGCGGGTCACCTGCACGGCCACGACCACACGGGCTGGAGCAGCCCCTGCTAGCAGCACCCTCACCGTCCCTGCGTGTGCACGACGTTGTGAGCATCGGGACTAATTAACTTGTTGATTCATTAATATTTGGAGATGATGCTCAGTTGGGGCACTTAGGGGACGCTGCGAGGAACTCTGGCAGTGTGTATCTGATAGCAGCATGCATCTGATAGCAGCACGCACCGGGAGCAGCCAGCACACAGTCCCACAGGCACTGAGCACCACGGTATCCCCCGGAGCACACCCACCCCCAGCCGCCCCCTCCAGAGGATAAAAGCTGGACCTGGTGATAAAGCAATCCCAGCCTGACCTGCATGTTACTTTGGACAAAGTGCAAATATTTCCTAAACCGTGCGACTGAGCAAAACCACCAAGCTGGTGTTAAACTACAGGAGCGGCGAGCCGTGCAACGCAGCAATCCGAAACGTCATCCAGGCAGTAGGATAAGAGCACGCAGCAGGTCTCTATCTCCCCTGCAGAAACAAACCCTGCAGAGCATTGGGCACTCACACCAGGGTCAGGGGCTCAGCACAGGGTGGGAGGATCTGCAGAGCACGGAATCTGCGGCACAGATCCCTAAACTCAAACGGCAGCGACCGTATGGGGCTCTGCAGACAGCAGCCAGGGAAACCAGCGGGGTTTGTGCTAGCAAACACCTACAACATCTCAAGCCTCCTCTGAGCTATGCACCCCACCCAACACTCGCTGAAAGGAAGCTTCTGGCACAGCTGCCAGCCTTGAGAAAGTTAAGGCAGTTCTCCCTCCATGTGAGGCTGGCAGAGCGCACGCTGCTCCACATCCCAATATTGGGCTCACAGCATGGATTTGATGCTAAGCTGTTAGAACACCCAGTCAGAAATCAAAACCCACTACCAAGATCACGCCCAAGCGTCACATTCGCTTTGAGAGCAAAATACAACAACAAACAGAGGAAAAGACCTCGGCAACAGCAAAACAAGCAACCGAAGGCGCGCGTGGAGCCGGACGCAGCGAGGACTCACCGGTGCTGTTCGACGGTCTCGTTGTCTGGGAGCTCTGCCCCACACACACTGCACTGCTCGCCCACGGCTCTGCTCTCCGTTTTCATGCCGGCTGCCAACTCCCCGAGCTTACTGAACAGCTCCCTCTGAATAAAGCCCTGGGGCAGGAGCCCTCCGTAAGCGCTGAAGTCCATGGACACGGCCAGGGCTGGCTGCATGTGAAGAGTGGATGTCATGGAGGGCGGCATGCTGAGCACAGAGTCACTTTTGTGGTTAGGGAGCACGGAGTAGACACCCAAAGGCTTCTCGCTCGCAGCCACGGACTGCTCCGGCCCCACCAGCATCCCCTGGGCGGCCTCGGGAGGCTGCTCTGCGCTCTCATCGCGGACGTAGTGCAGTTCGCGGGCACTTGTGATAACACTGCTGCGGGTCGGGGTGCCGGGGTCTTCCTTGCTCTTGTCATCAGATTTCTCCCCACTGGAAGCACCCGACTCCACCGGCCGTGGGCTCTCGTGGCTGGAGGCATCTTCCACCTGCATCACTTCGGTTTTGACTTCGCTGGGGCCGGGGTGGCGGCCGGCAGCATGCGGCTCCTCGGGGACGTTGTGCTGCAGGGCACCCTGCAGCAGTGACTGCCCGATGCTCGTCAGGCTGTCCACTGCTGCCTTGGTGGGGCTCATGGCGGAGAGGCCAAAGGATGTGGAGACTGAGGGGCTCTGCTCCACCATAGTGCCTGGTCCGCTCTGCCCGGCCGTGCTGGCGTAGCCACTCTCCTCGCTGGAATGCTTGGAGATGAAGAGCCCCTTGATGTACCTCGATTTCCTGTCCTCCTCTTCATCGGCACCTCCATCCGTCATGGTGACTTCGGCATCGTTGTCATCGGATGCCTGGATGGTCTCCAAGATCTTCAGGCACTGCTCTTCTAGATACTCTATTTCTAAGATCTCAGCTGCGTAGAGCAGGTCATCCAAGTCTTCAACCTTTGCCTGGAGGGTGGCCGTGTAAGCATACTCCAGAATCTGCTGGAAAGTCTTTGGTGAAAGGAAGTCCAGGGTGTAATGCTGACTGTTGCGGTGGAAGAGGATCTCAAACATTTTACTAGTGCAAGCTAACACTGTCCTGTGAGCGTGGAACTCCTGGCTGTCCACCATGATGACCACGTCGCACAGCGTCCCCGCCAGGCGCATCTGGTTGGCTTTGTGCAGCAGCCCCGTGGGGTGGCAGGGGTTCTGGAGCTGTATCATGCCCATCTTAGTCAAATCCATAGCGCTCCCGAGGTTCACTCATTAGGGTGCCTTACCGTCGCTCAAATCTGGGACTAGCTTTGTGTGCCGACTATCTGCGAAAACAAAAGACAGAGGGGGGGAAGAGGAGAAAAAAAAAAAAAAAAGAGGAGGGACGGGGGAGGAGAGAAGGAGAGGGTGGTTAGCCGGAGCTCGGCGGAGGCGAGTCACGATGCTCTGAAAAGTTTGTGCGCTCGGCTCGGGGCCGGCATCCGCAGCGCTCCGGCGCGCTGAGAACCGCGGTCCCGCCGGCTGCTGCTCGGGAAGGAGAGCGGCAGCCGTAGGAGCGCATCGCCTCGCATCGCCCGGTGCGCGGAGCCTGCGAGCACGCCCAGCTGGGCACGGCACGGCAGCGGCAGGCAGCGGCGGCCGCCCCGTCCCGCCCGCAGGGCTCGGACCCGGCGCGGCGCTCATCAGGTGCAGATCGAGAGCCGCCGCGCCCGGCGCAGCTCCGCGCCCAGAGGCAGCGGAGAGCCGCCAGAGCCGCAACCGCGCATCGCTGCGGGGCGAGGAGGGGGGAAAGGAAGAGGAGAAGGACGAGAAGGAAGAAGAAGAGGACGGCAGCCCCGCGCCCGCCCGCCCGCTGCCCGCACTCACGGCGGCCGGCGGCTGCTCCGGCAGTTCGCACTGCCCGCTCTCATCGCCGCCGCCGCCGCTCGCCGCGCCGCGCAGCAAATCACCGCGGCGCCGGCCCACGGGCCGCCCCGCGCCCACGTCAGGCCGCCCCCACCCCCGACGCCGCCGCCCGCACCATCTTGAC